TGCCCCTGTGCTAAAAATAGTGCCAAGCGACTTTTAATACAATAAATAAATAAAATAAAAAACGGGATGCGTAGTAAGAATAATCTAACTTTGTCTCGGGATGACCCTCACCACAGTTAGAATGCCCCCATATACCCGTAATGTAGCAGAAAATTGCAGAATCGCTCCGAAACGATTTTGGAGAAAATTAATGAAGTTGCATTGAAAATAACAGTCAAATTAATCATAACAAACCTTTTTGAGACTGTAAATACCTTTCATCTAAAAATTTAATCCATATTATGGAAGAATTCAACACTTTTTCACCGACGTTTTTTACTCGTTTCAAATTAACACATCATGTTGACATTCGGAACACTCGGGATTTTTCATAGTAAATGAACTGAGTTAGAGTTATCTCCCGCATTTTCTTCTGCTACATTGACAATACACGAAACGCATTCTATCGTTAATCCGGGTCCGTAGGACATTTATCATTTTCTGTCTAGGGGTGGGACACTTCGAGAGGGGCGAGAGAGGCTATAAGGGGTTATGGTATAAAATTTCATTGCAAAAGCTCAAAAGCTTCTTGAGATATGGGGCGGAAACAAAAGTGTTACACACAGACGGAATTTATGAATTTATGACCTTGAACTTTGACCTTTTGACCTCAAAATCTATAGAGGTCTTCCTTAGGCCACAGGAAGTTGTCATATAAAATTTCATTACAAAAGCTCAAAGAATTCGCGAGATATCGCACGGAAACGAAAGTGTTAAAACAGACAGAATGTATGAAGTTATGACCTTGACCTTCGACCTTTTGACCTCAAAATCGATACAGTTCTTCTTTAGGCGATAGGAAGTTGCTATGCAAAATTTCATTGCGAAAGCTCAAAGGATTCTCGAGATATCGCGCGGAAACGAAAGTGTTACAGACAGACAGAAATACAGACGGACGGACGGACGGACATACAGACCCAAATTAATATCCCCCACTTTCAGTGAAAGCTGGGGACAATAATACATGTATCCTCACGAATCAAGTGGAGAAGTAAAGCCTTACAGAAACTGATTCCCTCTGCACGATGATTAACCAATGTTTCTGAAACTAAGATGACGTCATCTTTTGAAATCATTTGTTTTCACTATTGCTGTACGAATTCTCACAACGTACTTTTCTTCTGATATTTCTTTTCTTTTTACTGCATTGCAACCACTTTTCATTATTATATGTTTTGCTTTGAAATCTTTCGACTAAGAATCAAAACTATATGTTTTATAGATATTCTATATCTCTACATAGTTTTATATTGCTTTAATATACATGTCTATCGGTTTTTGTTATGACATAAGATTCAGAAGTTTGTTATGTAAACGAGTTTCCGCAATTTTACGTCTCTGGTGATACTGCGCTTCTTTGTTTAAGTCCCTTTCGAGAATTCTTCACTCTTATTGAGAAGCCACCGCTTGCCGGTGGAAGGCTGCAACTAGGCAATTACGGCCTTTGGGTAGTAGGGGATCTTTTTCGTGCCAGCACCTACTTCGACAAGGGACCTCGGTTTACACGGTCTCATCCGAAGGACCTGTCTCCACGTTCCATAGTGAGATTCGAACCAGCTACGCAAGGGTCAACTCCTTATTCTGTGACTCTATAACATAAGCTCTAACCACCGCTGCAAGCGTGCGACCGCCTATATCATAAAAAGGTAGACGTAAAAAGGTTAATAACCTTCGATATAGAATATGCTAACCATCGAAACTTTCAAAGAGTCATCTTTCGGAAAAAGTGACGTAATTTATAAGTTTCCCTCGTCGTTATCCCGATTCCGATTGCATTGTAAACAAGCCAGTCTTCACAATTGGCGGAAAATCAAAAGAATAATAATCGATCTACGAAAATTAGTTGAACTTGGTTTTTGAAATGAAGTTAGATAGTAAGAAAAAGTCTGAAATTGAAAATTAATTAGACATATCGGTATCTATCATCAGTCCATTATGTAATAAATATTGAACCACAGGAGATATTTTAAGAAAAGCGAAAAATCGAAGCAGGGGGTCCATTCAAGATGTCGCAGTGGAATCAGCATGGACTCGTTCGACGGTTAAAAATGAACAGCTAGTGAACTGTTTTAAATAATGAATAATTCTAACGAAAGTAGGGACATATACAATTAGGTTCATCCACAGATAGTGCAAAAATTTTATATGAAAAGCTGTGAAGAGATCATTTGTAAGTGCCAGTGACGCATGTCAAAAGAAAAAGGCGTATTTTCGGCTAACGTTAAAATTAACAAAGCATACATGTACTATCGATAATCATTGAACACTGATGTCTTCTCTAATGAAAAAAATGAACTGTTTTTAAGATTACAATGTCCCCGTTCATGGAATCTATATTGCTCAAGATAACAAATTGGAAAATGATATTCAAATTGTTGTGAGGCTGATATAATACCTGAAAATTAATGTCATTAAAATGTGACTTCAAATTCAACAAATTGTACACAAAAGACAACACCGAACAATATATGGTAAGTTTAAGATTTAAAAAAAGTTTGTTCACATGAGGCTCATCACTGTTTACGTCCGACATTTTGAATAATCGCGAATACTTTTGTCATAGCACTGTTTCTTAAAAAGTCAATTTAGATCTTGGAAATGCTTTGGGGGGGGGGGGGTGATAATTTTTTAACTTTGAATTTGATCTGTATACTTTTTGACGATTCTCCTTATCGACACAAAAATGTCAGCAGGACAAAACTTGATTAAGAGTATTAGAATCTTTGATAGATTCCTTATAAACTTGAAAGTAGTTTTTATACCTACAGTCATTTATTGGCAATATAGCTGGTCTAGCTATACAAGGGGTGTTCAAAACACAGGATGATTGATTGATTGTATGTTGTTTTACGTCCCATTCGAGAATTTTTCACTTATACAGAGACGTCACCATATACTGATGAAGGGCTTCAAATGTAGACCTTTACTCGGCACGCAAGGCCATTGAGCAATGTGGTATTTTTATCGAGCTGACGCCTACCCTGACACGGGGGACCTGCAACTTTCACTTCAAAGTGCCGAGCGCTTGGCGAAGGAGCAGTTGCTACCTTTTTTTTTTTTAATTGACTTAGGTCAGTCGCGTCCGAGATTCGAATTCACGACCTTCCGATCATGGAGCGAGCATTATACCGACTGAACTACCGGGACGGAAAACACAGGATGAACCTACACCATTCAGTCAACTGAATGGTCACTGAAAGGTCTGAAAAGATCACTGAATGGCTGAGCTCTGCCATTTACAGCGCCAGAAAAGTTAGTAGAAAAAATTATTATACTGTAAAACTTGTTTTAAAAATTATTTAATTAATTATCAAAAATAGTTGTTACGAAAACCAGGAAAATAAGGCGCACTTAATTATAATCATTTCTAAAAATCGTTATCCCGAGTACAGCTTATTCACTTATTCGCTTGAAAATTAAACAACGAAATCTCCTATAATCTTTGTGCATTGCGTAACCTAATTAAGGCGTTAAATATGAATTGCATGGAAAGATTTTCAATTCTTTTCCAAACATGGCAGTTTTCAAATTCTGTAAAATTTAGAGATCAACAATATCCCTGAAAATCGGTCAATATTTATTGCTGTCTTACCCTCTGAAAATCCCCATCGCAAATGAAATATATGCTTGGTAAAGAAAGAGGTTTTCATAAGATAATAGCATCTTGTTGTACATGATAATTGACGACGAGGAAGAATATTATCTATTATAGCACCATAAGAAAAATAAATGACGTGACAGAATCAGAAGGATGGAAGACCGATAGGAAATTCTCAAAAGGGCAGCGTAAGCTTTGTGAAGTACTAAGAATTTAGACACTATCAGACTCAAAGCAAGGTGGATCACACTGACATTTTTAAGGTATTCGGTGCCTTGGAGTTTGTGTTTAGTGTAAAGAGAAATGCTTAAATGAGAAATTGTAAAACCTTAGGTAGGTTATGAATTACATAAATCATGGGGAAAAGTATTCAAACTATGAAAATTTATAAACAAAAGCACGGGTGTTAAATACGTTCAACTTATTAGAAATTAAAACTATAAACTTTGTTATACCATATTTTAGCGATAATTATTTTTTCACGTAAATTATGCAAATGATTATCCGATACTCTTATATACACCATGTATATATTCAAGATATTATTACTAGTAATAAAAAAATAAGTCCATCATTTTAGAAGATCAATAATTATCACCACTTGCTGACAACTGTATCAGGATATCCAGTGCATTTGTAATATTAGTGCCTTTTTTTCCGAATCTAGTCTATTGTGCACAACATATTGTAGATTTGATGCATGTATCTATACACTAGTAATGGCACATATACGTATATTTGTGTACAAATAGTTAATGATATATATTGAATTTAATGTTGATTTGTTAATTTTGTGTACGAGATTTTTTTATGTGATATATTTTAAATTTACTATTAAATTTTGTGCCTAAAATTTAATACGAGCATTATATGTACTTTAAGAATTTTAAACAATTTTTGATAATTAAGGATTTTCAATAAATGCTCTTTTTCGATAATTTTTGTGTTATGCTGTGTGTTTAGCAAAAAGCAGCAGAAAAGACCTCTATTATATCAGGAGGGGATGATATAATTACCCCCAAAGACTCATAAACATTACTAACTTGCAACCAAAGGAGAAAGAATTTCAGACTTAAATTGAAGAGGGGAGTGCCAATTTGTTTTAGAGTATGCCTTTGTACTCTTTTGCTCCACTGCAAAATGCAAGGTTGATTTGCATACATGAATAATTCGACCTTTTGTTTTACATTAGCGTCGCCTCATAGATCTTTATTAGCTCTCTCTCGCAATTTTTCTTCAATGTTACTATTTAAACCTTTAAAATAATCCGTAAAAAAAATGGATTATTAGCAAGAAAAAATTGAAGTTCTTGCATTTTATTCTTTGGAAACACAGTTATAAAGACAAAAAAAATATAACTCACCATCACTGTCACTGGAATAGCTAAGATTGGAATATACAATTCAGGTAAAGACTGAAACAAACCAGAGTGATAAAAATCCCACGAAAATTGAAATATACAGGACACTTAAGACAGCAGCGTTAAGGAAAGCTCACTAAGCCGTTGTTTCTTTGAATTTATGAAAGATAAAGAGGTACAAAAAAAATGGCAGCTGTGTTATCCAAAACAGCTGCTATACTTAATTCATCTTGCAATGTTACAGAGTGTTCTTTAGGCACTATATAAATCATGGACCGGAGGTTTGAATATGTCAGAGCTTCGATTGCCTTTTCTTTTGTTTGCTTATTTGTTTTTTCCCTAAACAAAACCCATATTCGTTTTTAGAAAATTTGGCAATTTTTTGTAATTTCAAGAGTATAAATACTTTTATAGTAAAGGCATACAAAATAATGTCAAGATATTATGTGTACAACAAACTGATTAATTTTGATAATTATGATATAATTTATTTAACATTCTATAAAGGAACGAACTTTTCAAGTTATTTTCATATTTTACCGAAACAATTTAACAGGTTCTTTGAAAGATAATACCATTTAAGAAAATATGTTTTATGTATTTGATATTTGTTCTGTTAGACTCTCTTTCAATATACAAGGGCTGTCCCAGAAAAACTCGAACATTTTAAATATTTTTTTTTTTTTTGTTTCACTGATATTATAAAGTTAAAAATTCTTATGCACCATAACCAACAATTTTTAAATAGTACACAGAAGTTTTAAGAAAATATGTCTATAAAAAGTACTTTTCCCTCTAAAAAACGAATCATTCAAACTAGCTGTCGGCGCAACACATATCTACATGTAAATAATTTTCTGAAAATTAAATGTAGCCGGATTAAAAATTCCAAAACTTGAGTTCGATCTTAATTGTTTGATGATACACAATAAAAATGTTTTCATTTCATTTAAATGTATGAAGACAAAACCTGGTTCTTAATATATTGAATATGATAAAAGAAATATCCAGCGATATTTAGTTTATAAATTGTATTTGTACATCGATCATTTAGCTATAAGGAATTCTTCTTTAAATAAGAATGATATAATCGTTTCATTAATAAACATGATATGATATAAAGACAATGTTACAAATTATAATGAATGCAAATCTAACGTAAATTAGTGTTTGTGCATCTACCAGTTTATTGTCAAAGTTAATCCTGCCAAAACTGACTCCCAAACTCATGTCAAGTACATGTATAGCTACTACAACAATCCATAACTTAAATAATGCTGTATATTTTCTGATAGCTACCATTGATTACAATCGAGGGGTATAAAGTAAAAATTGTATACGGATTCGAAATGGCTAATATTGCATTTACATGTATTAAATATTGAATTCATTACAGTAACTGTATTTTGTAAATAATATACATAAATATTTGAGTCATTTAAAAAAAGGTAAATTATAGTTTCAATTGATAGCTGACACGATACATCTTGATAGGTACAATATAGAAGCAGCTCAGTTAAATAATTACGTACATTTTATATATTTTCCATATGTTTTAGATTTTTTTTTTAATCTACTCATGCAGAAGAAACGATTTACATTTGAGAGGCGAAAGGTGGAATTGACATTATTTGACAGCCTTCAGGCAGCTTCTCATCTCTGTCACGTGATATAGTGGATAGGGGATTGACGGTACATAATAGACATCACAATAATAAAATGAAATATATACGCACAAAACACGCGAGTAATGCAACGGCTGCTATTGAATTATACAAAAAAGACAATTATAGACTGTCCTGATTATCGAGGCCCGACTTTATATATAAATATCGATTGGAAATGGGGATATGAAGATACATCATTCAAACAGCTAAATGTCATGAAAAGTTTGTTCTTCATCTGTTTGGAATGATTTCCGTATAATTTTTACAAGACATTGAACAATATTTTATAGACTACGAGTGTTTTATCTGCTGGTAAGTTTACACAGATCTACAATTTAAAAGCAATAAATCGTAAAAAAAAAAAAAAATTTCCAGTAAAATGCTTTTATTTAAAAATTCAATCAAAAATACTTCCAATTTTTTTGCATCTTCCTTACAAATGTAGGGGCAGGAGGTCAGAAAGCGCAATGAATGACAGTGGAAGCGACGGTTCGGGGATCTTTAGTAGGAGCGCCATGTAAAAAAAATAAATTGTAATAGTTATCGAAAAGTGAGCAGTGACAACCGTACAAAAACACTTCTGATGTTGTAAAACAAGCTGGTTCTTTGCAATCTGTAAGTAAATTGCTCTGTGAAGTAAATAATCTTGAAACACAAATTGAGTGTTAGACATTCGCAATCGGCGGTCAGGGATGAGTTACTTTGAATAACAATAACAGTAACTGGCTGGCAACATATGCATACGACATAAAATGCAGAGTGTGAACCTATGAAATGCGAAGAATATAAAACGTGTTACATTCGTATGCTTTATGTAAGCGTTCGAATTCAATATTGATACGCTGTTTTACAGCTCAAAAAAACTTTTTTAAACTTATATGCTTTTGTAAACTAATCAATTTTGGTAATAAATATACATTGCTACTAAAATTGCTTAAACAGCACAATATTTGCTATAAATTAAGTTTATACAGACTGATTTTGGTATTGAGTACTCTTCCCCATGAAACATCCTTCTCGTGCCTTTTCTTAAGTCATATGTCATGCTTCATGCAAAGCTCATTCCACCTAAATTTCACCTTAATTGTTTTAATTTAGTTTCGGGATAAAAATTATTTCCCGGCCACATTAGTGTAGAAAATGAAATGTTTTTGAGTAACTCTCTTGTACTCATTAGGGGGCGTTGAAAGATAATGTTAGTACCATGTGTCCCCATCAGAAAATGATTTGTATGTATTATTTAGCATCATTCATGGCTCAAAACCCACAAGAAAGTTTTTGAGACGCAATGTAGTTTTTACACTTTCGTTGCCCCTGGAACAGTCTCCGATCAAACCCAATTAAAATAAAAAAGACTGGACTTTACTCAAAAAATGTCAACAACGTCTTAATGAAAAGATATTTGGACGGCACTCTAGCTACATTTAGAACAGTGTTTAATTACAAAATAAGCTTTTCCAGAATTTATTTCATGACATGCATAATGACATTAAGGTGGTTATTCGTAAAAAAAGAGGGAGCAACTTATTACAATCGTAAATATATCAACTAAAATAAAATTGCAAATATTTTGTTTGCGCCCAAACTCTGCGTAAGATTAGTTCATAAAAGAAAGTTACATGTAGGTTAAAAAGTTTTGAACTGTATAATTGGTAAACAATATATTTATCAATTGAGTTATCAATGAGGTATGTTCTTCACTGTTCCATTTTTATGAAAATTATTGGTATTGCTTTTCTCCCTCTCTTTTCATTGTATTGATATTGTGTATCAAAAAATGAATACCTTGTGACGATTGGAACCTTTCTCAATTTATCCAAGACCACCCTTCAATTAAACCACTTCCAAAACCGATATCTACCCAAAGAGAGAGATTAAACCTTTTTTATTAAGCTTTTAGATACATATATTGTTGATAATACTTTTCCTTCGAAAGGTACATTGTATATATAAAGTTACAGATTAAAAGGTTTCAGAACTGAAGACAAAGACCTAAACTCATCGGAACATAAAATGCTCTTCTATTACTCTTTACAAAACATATTACTAGGAAAAAACAACCAAACCTACCTTAGAGAAGAAGAGATACTTGGAAATTAGTTTGTTAAAACACAAATCTTGCTTCTCCAAACAGATGACAAAAACATATGATGCAAATGTTCCAAATAGGCTATATACAAGAGAATGTCTCTGCACACTGGGTTATGACGCATCATTGATTGAGATTCGACGATCGGAATTATTTTTAAACCTATCTCACAGTCGCATGTACCAGCATTAGATTTAAAAGCAGAAAAAATAGGATTCACTTTCTTTGTGGCAATGATGTAATTTACAACTTTTCAATTATTGAAACAAATGTCAAGCAGTACATTAAAATCGGACTTTGATTAAATGCCCAATGCATGTATTACAAGGTTTAGTCTATGGCAAGATTGATAAATTAAATAGCAAAACAACAGCTTGTAACGAGTTGTATGGCATGTCTATTGAAAGTAATGAGAATTACCGTGATTGAAATGGTAAAATTTCAATTTGGAATAGCATACATGCACGTAAAAATGTATACATAAGCAATTATCCTTAAATTTTATCCAATATACATGTACTGTAGAATCACAAATATTCATTGGGATAAACTTTCGTTGATTTGTCATCAAAAAAAGGTTTCGTTGGCATTTAATTTCATTGTTTTGAAAGTAAATTTATTCAATATATAATCATATAAAAAAATCCGCGTGGGATTTAATTTCGTTGATGATTCTTAACACGAAATAAAAGAAATTTAATCCCCAGCGAATATTTTTGCTTTTACGGTATGTAAAAAAACATTTTATGCACCCCCTATTCATTTTAGATCCACATGTACATTGTAGAGATCATTTACATTTGAGAAATGAAAACATTTGGATGGATCATCTCTGAAAAAAAGGAAGCATTGACATAATTTGAGAGCTTATAGGATTTTACTACAAGTTTACTTCTCATCTCTATCAGTGATGCATTATGTATAGAGGAAATATGGTAGACCATACAAAGCACAGTAATAAAATGATATATATCTGCCCCAAACACACGAAATAATGCAGTCTTTGATATTGTATTAAACATGAAGGATAGATATAAAAGGCACAATATTAAAGAGGGAGTTGTGTTACAAAATATTTTCGATAAGAAAAGTTGATATAAGAATGAATTATTCATGCTGCTTTATGTCGTGACAAGTTGCTTCTTCATCTTCCTTAAACAATCTTTTGTTAGTGTTCACATTATTCTTTTTACTCTCGCAAAATTCTAGAGACTATATGTATAAATGTTTTAATTGTGGGTTACTAGTAGAATAAAGATGACTATAAGTTCCCTCGCTTTTAAATACAAAATTACTATAGCACGATCAAGATAAACAGGGGACGCAAAAATGGAGTGATTTATGGGGTTTTTTTTCACTGTAGTATATAGTTGTTTCTACAGTTCAGCAGCTCTATGATAATTGCATTTAAATTAATTAATATA